GGAGACCTGTGACTCCCTGGTTGGGGGCTGGGTGCCCCCTGTAGCAGACAGACGGCTGGAGGGGCTGGGTCCCTCCGTGACCGTCCTGGACACAGGGCCGGTCCCTTGCTTTGAACTGAAGATTTTTTCCTCTTCAGCAGGTTCCCCTTTAGTGTGACTAACTGTGGTGGTTGGGGTGGGAGTTGCTTCAGGCTGTGGTCGTCCCCTCCTCTGTGGTTTCTCTGGGAGCACGGAGGACAGGGGAAGGAGCGGCCCTGCTCCCCCATTCTCTGAGGGGCCTGCGGGCAGGGCGAGTTGGGCTCTGAGATGGAGTTTACACCTGAGGACATGCTTCATCTCTGTTATGTCACCCACCCCACCTGCTGCTCTGCCCCATGCCTGAGATCCCAGCAGGACACGTGTCTGGGGGGCAGCGGCCCTTCCAAGTGACCACATGACACCTGGAAAGAACCCTTGCCACATGCTGGAAAGCTTGCAGTTGCCCTCAAGGCACTCCAGATCTCAACACTGCTTTTTCTTTCCCCACTTACACACCCACCAGTTTAATGGTGCATATGCTTTGTTACGGGGCACCAAGCCGGGCCAGCTCCCCTCGTCCAGTCCCCATACAAACTCCAGGGGGCTCTGCCAACACCCTATTTACAGCTTGAGTGTTATTTTTGGCTGGGTCTTGTGGTTTGTGGGATTTCAGTTCTCCAGCCACGGGACTAAACCCAGGCCGTGGCAGTGAAAACCCCGAGTCCCAACCACTAGGCCACCAGGAACTCCCAGCCTTGGAGTCCGCGTGGTGCCTGCGGCCGCGTGGTCACCATGTCAGGCTGAGACTCACATCCAGGGTGGCATGACACCCGCACTCCTTGTTGGCCCCGAAGGATGCTTAGAATGCAGACTGTGCGTGTGTTGCCCGTGAGGACATGGAACTAAGTCTAGAAGCAGCTGTAGAAGAAATCTTCTCAAATGATTCCAGTGGGTAAATGGATCACCCGACGGCTCTTAAAGAGACTGACTCCTTGAGTGGTGCGTTTGCACAGAGAATAGAATTTAACATCTCTAAGCTGACCAACGGCCCCCTTCCACTTTTCTCTCTGCATCCCACCTCTGCAGCCTTGTCGTGGACCCCCTCCTCCTCGCCCACCTCACTCCACGCCCTCTGCCAAGACTCTCCAGCACAAGGTCTCTGACCTGCTGTGCCCACCACCCCGACTGCTCTGTCCTGCTCTCTGCCTGGCACCAGCCCTGCTCCTCCATCAGCCCAGCGTGTGTCCACTGGCCCAGTGGTCTCTCCAGCCCTGTCTCTCTGGGCTCCTCTTCCCTGCTCCCACCATGGTTTCAGAGGCAAATACAGTTTTGCAGCGGTCAGAAGGGGCTCATTGGTTGTATGATGTCTCCCCCGCAAGACCAAGAGCTTCTCAAGGCAGGGGGGTGCTCACTGTGTCACCCCCCCCCCACCCCAAGACACAGAGCACATGTTCAATAAATATTTGCTGAACTGATCCAAAGGGTTTGGTCTGAGAACAACAAAAAAAAAGCCACGTGAGCCGTCAGATCAAATTCTGACTCCTCCAGCCTGGCCTCCTTCCCCAGGCCCCATAAGTCCTGGAACACTACCCGCAAACACACACCACACACCCTGCTGAGTCCGGGAGGCCTGGATTCAACCACGTGAACAAGAGGCAGGGCTTACAGCACGTTTCACAAGGGCCACCCACTCTGGTCTGAAGGGCTGAGGACTTGTTAACTGACTTGTTCATATGGGGTCTTTTTAGAGAGAGGCTGAGGTTTGACAACCTCAATTTCAGATGACGCCTGTAGGTGGGGAGGTGCTTCTCCCATGGGACAGAAAGTGAAGGGCCTCAGCAGGGTCGACACCCGCCCCACTCGGGTCCAAGATGCCCCGGTGATGGTTCTCGCCTCTGAGTCTTGAGCACTCGCTTTGGTTTTCTTGTGTTCTTGAAAAAATATCCCTCTTTGGAGGAAGACATCCTAAAGCAATGAGCCTTTTTTTTTAAAAAAAGAAAGACACTTAAATGATATTTATTTGGCCACACTGGGTGGCATTTAAAATCTTAGCTCCCTGACCAGTGATGGGACCCACGCTCCCTACAGAGGAAGCACGGAGTCTTCCTTGGACTGCCAAGGAGTGCCAAGCAATGAGCTTTTGAAAGTGACTTTGACAGCTCCTTGGAAGCAGACCCTTTGGAAAAAATAGAAGGCCAGGTAGTAAGGACAATAGGTAAGGTGTCACTCTCCCCTCCCCACCCCTAGCACGATTCATTGGCACCTGCTTTGCCCCCACTCATGGAATTCTTTCTTCATGTGTACCTATTATTGATTCTGGTTTTTTGCTAGGCTTCCAACTACTGAAAGCAACTGCTGCTCTGCCCATCTCGGGAAGGTGCGCACCTGGGACCACCCAACCCTCACCACCACCACCCCCTGCTCCCACACACCCCAAAGCCATCTCCTTCATCCAGAACAGTGTGTTGAAATCTTGCATTTCCATGACACCAATTACTCAGATTAAAACTGAGAAATTCAGCAGGATCCAAATATGTAAAAATATTTGGATATTTGACTAAATCCAATTATCTTCCAACTTCTGCTTTCTGAAAACTTTCAAACACTGCATATAAAATTCAGCCAGTTTCACCATCCCAGGAAGAGGGACCCAAGATATGCATATATTAAAAAGACAGTGTTTGTAATCTCCAAGAGAAATGAGGATGATTTCACACTGCATGAGACCTTGGTTTCTGAGACACAGGGTGACTTTTGTGTTTGAATATCTCTGAGACCAGGTAATGCCGAACCATTTGTTGAGGGACACAGGGCCAAGATTCTGGAGATGTCCCAAGAAGGACTGCTTCTTTAACTCAGCCCAACAAATACTCCTATAGTGTATTTTAAAACACATAGGCATAAGTCCTGTGTATGAAGCTGTCATGGTTACAGAAGAAAAATAAATATTTGTGCACATAGACATAACATGAAGTCCTTCTACAGTGAAAACAATCTCCTCTGGAAAGAACTTTGAAAGTCAGTGATGAGCCAGAAGTGGAGGGAGCTACTAATGGAGTAGGGAGCAGCCTTTAAACGCACCTCTTGACATTTGCATTTTTCATAAGCCTTGTTTAGAAGCATAAAATTAAGGGGCTGTGGGAGTGAGGTGAACAGACACAAAAACCAAGAACACTGTTATTTATTTTCTACAAGTGACATCAAAAGCAGGAGTTTTGCCTTTGTTCTAGTTTATCTCCAATTAATAAATAACTATGTACAAATGTGCTTAGTTTATGAAACAATAGAGGAAAACCTTTGCATTGCAAAAGATACATTTACATGATACATTTTTTTTCCCATACACTAAGCATTTCATTCGTAGCTTACTTGAACCAAAGACCCTGTATAGCAATGTCTAAAGGTGTGTACCTAGGCTCTTCTACCAGAAAGCAAAGCTATAAAAGGAAAATTCCTCAGTTAATTCCTCAGTTTCTTGAATATAGGGCCTGACTTGGCCTGCTACTTATTACTCATATTTAATCTGTTCCAGAACGTTGGCAGCTGTCTGGAACAGCTCTCCTCAAATATACGGAGCAGACAGCCCCCTGCTGAACTTGTTAAAATGCAGATTCTTGTGCAGTAGGTGGGATGGCGCCTGAGGGCATTTCTAACCAGCTTGCCGGGGCAGCTCCCGCCTCCCGGACTGCATTCCAAATGGCTGGGCTCAGAAAACTCTCCTCCAAAGGGAGAAATCCTGGAGGGCCTGATCAAGAAGAGGCCCTAACCGGCCATGCTGCAGCCTCCATCCCCAAGCTCCCAAATTAAAAAAACCAGTAGAGCTGGTTTTATTTGGGCCCACAAATAACAAGGACCTTGAGAGTCCAAATGGCCACTGGCCACTGGCCAATTCTGCAGCAGAAACTTTCTTATACTGTCTCCTGGGATGGGCTTCCATCTCCTCTCAATTCAGAGCAACCATTTTCAATATTTTCACAAATAACTAATAATAATCATAGGAAAAGATACTGCATAAGAAGCTTAATGACGACTACTTTCCAAATCAAAACAGCAACAACAACAGTAAAACCCAGGTTCATTGTTTGAAAATAAAAATGAAAATCTTGGGTTGAATTCCTAGGTCAGTCCAGCAACATGAGTCTAATAAATGCCCTTTATATTTTAACCTTTCTTAAAATGCTATTGCTCCGGAAGCCTGAAATCTCAGGATAAATTAGCAAGTCTGGTGAAAGAACAGATTCTCAACCGTTCTTATTTCTAGTGTTTTTCTTTCTGTTTCACAAAGCAGTTCTGCCCAGGCAGACAGCTAAGAGCAGAAAAATAGGGTCCAACAGAGATAGGGTGGCTCAGGTAGGTCGGCCGAGTTCCTGGAAGGGGAAAGTTGGGAGAAATGAAAAGGATGCAATGGGGCTTAGCTTCATAAAGACAAGAGGGCTGGAAAAACTTCACCAAGATAGTGTAAGGATCCCATAACAAGTGGGAGCACACACACAAATAGATAGAGCAGGAGGGAGAGGGGAGGAGAGGAAGGCAGGAGAGATACAAAGCAGGTGTTGGAGACACACAGAATAGGGAAAAAAGCAGAAGAACAACAACAAAAATGTTCAAAAAATAAATATTGGGGTCATTATCCTTGACTCAGTGTCACTCATTAGTCCCCTGGAAGGACATCTGCCCCCAGGCTGCCAACCAAGAACACGCACCCCCCACCTCGTGCCCCTTGATGAGGGCACAGGACAGGTTGCAACCTGTCACAATGAAGCTGTCATCCCTGCTCGCTTGTCTAATGACATCACGGAAGTGGCTGGGGCTGAACTTCCAACACCTCCCTTCCTCTCCTCCATAGCCAAGTGCAGAAGCAGTGAAAGAAGAGGTGCGAGGGGTCTTCTATTCTGACGCCAGCTAAGGTGCTTGGGGCGGGGCAGTGGGAGAGAAAGGCTGCGCGGCCGGGAGGAGGGGAGGAAGTCCGGGTACCAGGCTTCTCAGAGTTTCTGAGGTGTCCGCTCAGTCTTCACCTGCTGCAGCACCAGCTCCTTGGCGGGGACCCCGCACTTGTACTCCAGCTCCCCCCGCGAGGCACCCTGCTTCTTGCGCAGGTGGCAAAGGAGGGCCAGAAGCGCCACCACCAGAGACAGGCTTGCAATGGAGATGCCCACGAGCACGCCCGAGTGCAGGGGGCCAGCAGGTGCTGGCGAGGGGCGTGCGGTGGCGCCCGGAGTCAGGCTGACTGGGGGCTCCCCAGAGCCGGCGTAGTCCTCCATGCTGCCCCGGTCCTCATTCGCCTGAATGGGGTCGCAGTCGGTACCAGTCTGGCCAGAGAGGGCCGAGTCAGGCCCACAGATGCACTGGTAAGTGCCGGGGAGGTTGTGGCATTGGCCAGGGCAGATGCCGTCGTCACACTCGTTGATGTCCATGCACACGGAGCCCTCGTCTAGGATATAGCCGTCGGGGCAGCGGCAGATGGTCGGGTTGTGGGGGTCACAGTCAGCCGGGCACGAAGTCTGGTTGCAGAACATCTGGCACTTGTGCGGGGCGCCGGGGACGGGCGCGAAGCCCTCAGCGCAGATGCACTGGTGTTCGGCCCGGCCCACCGGCTGGCACTGGTACTCGCACTTATTGCCGAAGCACGGGTCCACGGGATCCACGCACTCGCCGTCCACCAGGTCAAAGCCAGAGAAGCAGTGGCACTGGAAGCCACCCTTAGTGTTGACGCACCTGTGCGGGCACGGACTGGGCACCTGCGCGCAGTCGTCCACGTCCTCACATCGGTGCTGGTCGGCGGCCAGCTGGTAGCCCGCCTCGCAGATGCACGTGTAGTTGCCGAGGCCGTGGAGGTGGCAGAAGTGCTCGCAGAGGTGGTGGCACGGGTGCTCGGCCGGTGACCCGCAGGAACGCCCGTCCGCCTGCAGTGCGGCGTCCGCCGGGCACAGGCAGTTCGAGGCACCGGCACTTCCTTTGCACTCGTGCTGGCAGCCCCCGCGCTCGACGCCGCAGGCCCAGGCGCCCGGGGCTTCCCTGCTCCAGCGCCCCTCGGTCTCCCCCGGCGGCGCCGCGCACTCCAGCTCCACCCCGAGGGGCGCCACCGCGGCCGTGCTGCCCAGCGGCAGCGCCTGAAAGTCAGCGCCGCTGGCTCCGAAAGGGGTGCCGTAGGTGATGGAGAGGCTCGCCGCCGTGGCGCCAGGCTCCACAGCCAGCGGCAGGCAGGAGGCGGCGAAGTGGAACTCGCAGAGGAAGCCGTCGGCCTCCACATCGCACGGCCGCTCCTCCCAGGCGGGCTCTCCCGGTGCCTGCTCCCCGGCCGCCGCCGAGACGGCGACGCACAGCGGACCGCAGAGGCGTGCCCCGTCGTCGAGAGGCCGCGCCCACCTGCTGAAGCTGGTGCGGTTGTCGCCCGTCACCCACTGGAAGCCGCGCAAGGGCCCGGAGTGCTCTGGGTCGTCGCAGCCCGGCGGGCGCTGCAGACCGATCCAGAGGCGCGAGCCGTCGCCACTCAGGAACAGGGAGATGACATCTTCGCCCACCGAGGAGCGCACGGTCATCAGGTGGCCCTGCAGGCGCTCGCAGACTCGGCTGGCGGCGAGGAAAGTCGCGGGGCCCCGGAAGACAGCGAAGCAGTCGAGATCAACGCACTGGCCGCCGAGGGGCTGCGGCTCAGGGGGCGCCGGGAGCCCCAGGCCGGCGGGGGCCAGCACGCCGAGGAGCAGGACGCGCAGCATAGTGTCCGCTCGCGGCGCACAGGGGCCCGGCCGGGGCAGAGAGACGCGGGGAGCCCCCGGCGACAGCTGCTCGCGTCTGTCTCCGACTTGGCGCGTCAGGCTGTGGCGAGGCAGTCTCTGACAGGCCACCAGGCTCGGGCCCGAGTTTATAAGTGAGTGGCCCCCCTCCCTGGACGTTCGGGAAAAGGAAGGAAGTGCCTGGTGGGAAGGGCTGATGCTGCGTTCTCGGATTACTGGGTCCTCCGGACGCACTGCGCCCGCCCTCGCGCCCGGGATCACCTCGCCCGGGGATGAGTAAATTCGGCGCTGCCTGCGAGGTCCTCGGGAGGGGCCGGCAGTGCAGGCTCCCGGGAGACCCCGCACCTCTGTCAAGGGGGACCCGCCCCGCCACCCGGCCCCAGGCGCGCCGCCCTACGAGAGGCTTAACACGCTACCCTCCTGAATCTCCTTGTCCTCTTTTCCTTCATCAGTGTTGTTACCAACTAATTCAAGGGAAGCCTAGATTGCGGATCTCTTCAAAGATGAGACTGGGAGAGGAGGGCTTAATTGGTGGTGGGGACGGGGGGTGGGGGGCGGTTCCGTAATGCCTAGGACCTGCAGGGCTTCGGGAGAAGGTGCCCGCCACCCAGAGGGTTTGCAGAGGGGCTGCCTAGGACTTGGCCTTGCACAAAAAAAAAAAAAACACGCGCTCTCAAGGGGAGCTAGCCGACCGTTTCCTCCAGGGCGCCTAGTTCAGAAGACCGAGGCGCTTGGAGACAGAGGACGTGGGTGGGACCACCCTGTGCTAAGAAGGAGGACTGGCCTAACACCCGGACCCTGTGGGACCCACGAGTCCCTGAGCGCAAGCTGCCACGGCCAGACCGCCTCTCGTTGCGTAAGAAAGTTGCGGAGACACTGTCAGGGCCCAAAATCTTTTGGAAGTGGCGGCAGGCGAATTCCTGCGGACCCCTGTAGGGGAGCGAGTTAGCTTGAGTGGTCTGAGTTTGTCCAGCATCTCAGAGGGGCAGTGCAATTCGCACCCCCAAAGGGACGCACGGTGTGCCCTCGCGGGGAGGGTCTGTCTGTTGGGGGCTTTTCTCCAACAGATCAGATGGATACAGGGGCGCACTTGGTCCGCAAAGGACACGGACGAGGGGCGAGTAAGCGCGCGTACGGGGTGGGGAGCGCTGGGAGAAGGAGACTGGAATCTGTCACTTTCGCGACCTTATCCGCTTACTCACTTGTCAGGAATGCGGAGGGGTCAGTCCAAAGCCCAACCGAGAGTGGCAAATTTGTTTTCTGTTGTGTGTGTGTGTGTGTGTGTTTTAACACCCTATGCCATCCTCCTCTGCGGTCATTCACAGCGACGCGCCAGGTGGCGGCGCTGTTGAACTCTAAACGAAGCCAAAGAAACTGCTGAAGCCCAAAGAAGTTGGGCTGAAAGGGTTTCTTATGCAGAGTCCTTTCCCCGGGCAGGACTCGCGGATCCCCTTCTGACCCGGGGGTCTGGCCCGCCACGTCCAGCAGAGCCCAAAACTTGCTAAAGAGCAGGACAGCGTGGCGTCGTCACGTGCGGAAGACAGACACCTGCTGGCGGAGGGACCGTACTGTCTGCAGTGACCAAGAGGGCGGGCGAGGACACCCCCGAAAGTGCAAGGGGGAGGGGGGAGATATGCTTCACTATCCCGCTATCCCCGCGCCCCACGCAAAGGAACACAGACATTTGACGCTTCCTGGATTGGGCCAGATTGCACCTCTAGGAGGAGGAAAGACCTCTCCTCCCCACGCCACCGCGCCACCACCCCTCCCCCCCGCCCCCGATCGGAGAGTCGCGCGGCCTGGGGTGGGTCTGGGCAGGCACTGGCCGGACATCCCACTGGCTTCGGGACCAAGTCAGGGGCCACGACTCCGTGCACCGCCACCCTGGAAAGGCTGTCTCGGTGCAGCCGATCGGGGCGGGGCGGGGCTCAAGACACAGGCTGTAACTCGCCACTTTAGAGACCTCAAAGGTGGACGCCTGAGACAGGAAGGGAGGCAGGGCCAGCCACACCCTTTGTGCCTCTTTTACAAAGGATTTCAGGACTGTGTTGGAGGAAGCCTTAAACAAAGGGTGGGGCCCTCTGAGCCCGGGCCAGCCCTTAAAGGAGTTGAGGGACATTCCAGCGTCAGGTCTGGCCCCTTCTTGTATGGGTTCTAGGTGATTTGCCCATAAATAGCCAAAGAGCTTTATCAAGTGTGGGAGGCAACTTTTTTCTTAAGAGACATTAAAGAAAAAAACAAAAACCAACTTTCTAATTCCAACATGAACACCTGTTCTTAGATGTATTAACCCCTAGGTCCCCTGATGCTTGGAACCCATTCCAGTATTCTTGCCTGGGAAATCTCATGGACAGAGGAGCCTGGTGGGCTATAGCTACAGTCCATGGGGTCGCAAGAGTCGGACATGACTGAGCGACTAAACCACCAAACCCATCCCCTGGTGCAGATCCTGTTTGGCACTGTTTCTCTCCAGAGCACCTGGGCAGCTGTCCCTGCTCTGACTTAGAATTTAAGCCTCTGAGGTGGGGAGATGAGTGGAAATACACAATTCCAGGTGCTCAGGGCTTCCAGGCTGTGAGATGCAGGGCTGACTCCCAATTGCTGGTGATAAAATCATCCCACCCATGGAAACGACTGTCACTAGCACTTGAGGATGTGGGGGAAGGAGGCATGTATAACTTATGCAATACAATAGCCATAATCCCCTGTGGTTATTTAAACTAAAACTTATTAAAGTTAGAAATTCAGTTTCTCAGTCTCCCTAGTTACAGCAAGTGCCCCACTATAGGGGCTAGTGATTATAAATTATACATTACCGAGAAGACACTTGATCATCACAGGAACTGCTTTTGGACCCTGCTGGTCCACACAAATGATATCAAGGAAGATATTGGTGGGGGCACGTGAGTATCCCTTCTAGGATTCCAAGTACACTGTCTTAAAATCATTGTTGTTTTCAAGATAATGGTTGTTAAGACTGTCATCAGAGTCTAGAAGGGAAATGTTAAGAAGAGTGTAGAAACTGTTTTTGTTTTTGTTTAGTTGCTAAGTCCTTTCTGACTCTTTGTACCTCACAGACTGTAGCACACCAAGCTCCTCTATCCTCCACCATCTCTCAGAGTTTGCTCAGATTCAGGTCCACTGACTCGGTGACGCTATCTAACCATCTCATCCTCTACTGCACCCTTCTCCTTTTGCCGTCAATCTTTCCCAGTATCAGGGTCTTTTCCAATGAGTCAGCTCTTCACATCAGGTAACCAAAGTTTTGAAGCTTCAGCTTTACCAACAGTCTTTCCAATGAATATTCAGAGTTGATTTCCTTTAAGATTGACTGATTTGATCTCCTTGGTACTTGACTAATGAATACATTGGGCTTCCCTGGTGACTTAGTGGTAAAAAATCCACTTGCCAATGCTGGAGATGCAGGTTCAATCCCTGGGTCAGGGAAATTCCCTGGAGAAGGAAATGGCAACCCACTCCAATATGCTTTCCTAGAAAATCCCATGGATGGAGGAGCCAGGCAGGCTACAGTCCGTGGAGTTGCAAGAAGAGTCAGACACAACTTAGCGACTGAACAACAGTAAGTTAGTATATCAATATTATGTTTAACCTGGATGTTAATTATAATAATTTAGATATTAAGAAGAAAGACATTTAAAAAGTAAGAACATCATGTGTATAAGCCATAACAATATTAAAATGAAGACACAAAAATAAAGTCTGTGATGATGCAGCAACAAATGATTCTAGAAGTGGAAATTAAGTGCCTGGTGAGCAAATGTTATTCAATAAACAACAGCCTGGCACCTAACAAGGTGCAGATTTCACTAAATATTTGCTGTCAGCCAGACTTTTTTCAAGAAGCAAGATGAAAATTGACAGTCCTTTATTGGCCTATTTTTATAAAAGAAAATATGTTGCATCTACCCAAACCCAATATTTGATAACATATTTGATGGTGAAAGACCGAAAGCTCTACCCCTAAGGTCAGAAACCAGACAAAGATGTCTGTTCCTGCCATAGGGTTCTGGAGGTTCTATCTAGACTCTGTCCAGGGCAGTTCTGCATGGAAATGAAATAAAAGGCATCCAGATTTAAAAGGAAGACATAAAATTATCTCTTTATTGATCATACTGCTTTGCTTATATGTAGAAAATCCTAAGAAAACTATCCAAAACCCTAAGATCTAATACACAAGTTTAGCCTTACAGGAAATAAAATCAACACCTAAAAACCATTTGCATTTCTATATAGTAACAATGCACAAATTTAAAATGAAATTAGAAAACAATTTCATTTACAATAGCATTAAAAATAATTAACTACTTAGGAATAAATTTAACAGAAGAAGTGCAAAATACATACTTTGACAACTACAAACAATGTTTAAAGAAATTTTAAAAGACCTAAATAAAGGAAACATTTTATGTTTATGGATTGGAAGATTTGATATGGTTAAGCAGACAAAACTCCCAAAATTAATGTACAGAGTCAATACAATCTCTATTAAAATACCTGATGATTTTTCTATAGAAATTGTCATGCTGATCCTAAAATTCACAAGGAAATTCAAGGGGCTCTGAAAAACCAAAATAATCTTGGAGAAGAGAAACAAGGCAGGAGGACTCACACTTTTTTATTTCAAATTTTACTGCAAAGCTACAGTAATCAAAACAGTGTGGTTCTGGCATCAGAAAAGACCTAATCGGTGTCTTTGGCACAGAATTGAGTCCAAAAATAAACCCTTTGAATATATACAATTGGCCAATAAGCACATGAAAAGATACTCAATAAGAAAAATTTTTATGTTTAATCAGTTTAGGCAATTTTTACAAGGGGGTCAAGACAGTTAAATGGAGGAAAGAATAGTCTTTTTTACTGTAACCATCCTAGTGGCAGTAAACTGGTATCTCACTTTGGTTTGATTTACATTTCCCGCCAATGATGTTGAACATCTATCTTCATGTGCTTATTGGCCATTT